GGCGGAGACCACCCCAGCGCCCCAGGGAGTCCAGCCCCTGCCCTCACCGCTTCTTGGTCTCCGGGGGGATGATGGCCTCGGCCAGGAGGTTCCTGTAGAGCTCCGACTTGAGGAACCGCGGGTAGGAGTCCTGAGTGAGCAGAGGCGTCAGGCTCCTGCCTGGCCCTGCCCTGCCCTGCCCAGCCCTGCCCTCGCCCACCTTCTTCATCAGCATGTAGATGTGCATCTGGGCATCGTCCATCACATAGCGGTGGGGTGTCTTGATGCCCTCCAACGTCCGCTCCATGGTCTTGCTGTCGATGTTCACCCAACGCGTGGCTCCGGGGGCCAGGAACTGCCTGGGGAGTCACAGCCGGTGGTGAGTGCCCAGCCCTGTGGTGGGATGTAGCACCGTGATGACTTGGCCCCCCCAAAACCTTGCCCCGCTGGCACTCACTGGTATATGGAGTCCACGATCTCAGTGATGCGTGACTGCTCCCCGTAGCGCAGCTCCTCACATGCCTCCCAGAAGCTCAGGTTCTCAGCTGGGGAGGGGGACATCACTACTGTGACCACGACCCAGCCAACTGTGGGGTCAGACCCCCTGGGATGGAGCCAGCTGGTGTGACCTGGGGTGGTGGCTCCAGGGATGCTGGGACATGGCAGTGGCTCAGGGGGTGCCAGGATAGGTTGGTCAAGGGGTGCTGGGAAACTGTGGTGGGTCGGTGGGGTGCCAGGATGGGGTGGTGGGTTTGGTGTTGCTGGGACAGGGCAGTGAATTAGGTGGTACTGGGACATGGTGGTGGGTCTGGGGGTGCTGGGACAGGTTGGTGAGCCTGGGGATGCTGGGATGGCAGGATGGGTTTGGGGATGCTGGGCTGGGGCGATGGGTTTGGGGGTGCTGGGCTGGGCCCGCTCACCGCTGAACTCCTTCTTGAGGAAGTCGAGGAGCTGTGCCCGGCCCAGGGGGTCGGTGAGGAGCTCACTGAAGTTGAAGCCCCAACGCTCCACGCGCAGCTTCGTGGGGGTCGGCACCCTGTGGGCGACACCAGCGTTGAGGCAGGCAGCCTGCGCGGCCCCATCTCCCCCCCCTTGCACGCCATGTATTTGGGTGGGGAGGAGGGGGCCCTGGGGGCTGCTGCAGCCCCTGCATGAGCGCTTACGTGGGGGCGTTCATGGCCCAGTACGTGGTGTCATCTGTGATCCAGGGGTTGCTGGGCAGGCAGCCGGACATGATGGGGTCGTGGGGCACGTACTGCTCATTGAACTTGATGTACCTGCCAGGAGCGGTGGCTGGGGGCGGGCCCGGGCATCT